TGTGGGCATGTCGGACTCGGTAGGGTAGCGGGCTGCTGCTAAGGACCCAAGCAACCACCAGGATTTATGACGCTAGTGACAAGAGCTTGATGAACATCGAGATTTCACTCCTTCAAGTGACGGACACATTGTTCATAGAGAATCAACTTGGAGCGGAGATCATCAAAAGTGATAGAGTTGCCAAAATAAGCCATCGCCGTAATGAGAGATTTGTAGTCACTATTCAATCCAAAGAGAGTGTGTTGCGTGAGCTCTTGATCACTCAAAGGAGAATTAATCACAGTAAGGGAGTCCGCAACAACTTTAATCTCGCATAAATAGATCTCCATGGATTGAGTTTCACTCTTCTTGATAGTGGTAATAGTGCATTTCAATTCCATAAGCAAGATCACTCATCAAGAATCAACGTTGAAGGCGATCCCAAATCTGAAGGAAGTGTGCGAGATCATTAATTTTAACTAAAGTTTCTCAAGACAAAGTAGCGAAAAGCCACGAGCAAAGGCTTTGATCTATCCAAATCCACGATATGTAATGAGGATTGAGTTGAGCATCATCAGTATACATCTGTGGAGGAGGACACAATCCATCAACAAAGCCAAGTAAGTTATGAGAAATCAATAATACGGTGAACTATGTCTTCCAAGTTAAATAGTCTTCAACTGTTGTTAATTTTACCATGATGAGATTCGTCACAATTGGTGCAGTCAAGGCTGAAGGAAAGAAAGAGCCAGAAGGTGGTAGTGAGGAAAGAAGAATACCACTGTTAAGCAAAATATGATAAAAACTACCTGATAAATTCAATCTATGAAGCTCCGACACTATCTGATCGATGCCCATTGATTGTGTGACCGGTAGGAACAAGGCACGAGTGATCACGGGCTATAGTTGAGTCCAAACAGGGGCTGTCGAAGTTAAAAAAATCTATTGCTAATGTAAAACGGAGAATAAGGGATTAGTTTTGTCAATGGAAGGTGTGGCTGGAGTCAACATAGTAGTTGTCATCAATGAGGGATGTGTAATCTCTGAGAAGACATAGCATACCAGAGGTATTGTAGTCAAATTCGAAGTCGCTGTCGAACTAAAAGAAAATAGGAGATTGGCAAAATTGGGATTCACTGCCAAACTCGAAGAAAACAAGGGAGACACTTCGAACTTGAAGAAAACAGGAAAGTTGCTGAACTTGAAGAAATCAGGGGAGTTGCTGTCAATGTCAGAGGAAGTCGCAAGTTGGAGATGGTTGAACTCGAAATCATAGGAACTGTCGAGGTGTTGGTGGCCAAACTCGAATATGAGCACGAAGAGGGACTTGAAGCTCTTATTTGTCAAACGTAAGAGAAAGATTGAATAGTGCTCTCGGGTGAACAGTACCCACGGCGATAAACAATGCTCTCAAGCGAACAATACCGCAACTATGAACAGATTGCTAGGGTTTCACCGGTGCTCTAATACCATGAGAAAGTATTAGAGAGAGAGACGGCTGAATATGATCTGCTTGCCTAACCCTAGCATGAGCCGATGATTGTATATATAAAGGATATTACAAATTTACATAAAGACCCTCTCTACAATGATATTATATTTGTTTAGTATAATTGCACTATTAATAAGTATACTAAATATTCCAGGCAAATATTTATTATAATCAATTATGTTATTTAGATATATACATTTTTATTTACGCAATATACAAACACATGCAATGTATTTGACTGTAGAAAATTTATTTTCACTACAATTTAAGTGGTTGTTTGTCTACAATGGTAAAATGATATACATTTCCAGAGTTGGAATATACTAACATGATAACATGTTACTAGTTTTTATTTTCAATTAATGCAAGGATTTTAAGCATTTGCTATAAGAAAATAAGCTACGACAAATGCTTTAATATTTCTACAGAGCGAAAATAAAATTACCATTTCTAACTACTAGTATGATGCACGTGATTTGCATGTGAACGTACATGTTTTAAGTTTTAAATTTTTTATTGAATAGTCAAATTATGTATTAATAAATAAAATTGTATAATAAGATTGCTTAAAAAGAAATGTACGAATTAATTATTATTGTGTAGTTATTATAATTGAAGGTTTTTCTTATAATGATTGCCCAATGCTAACCTTTTCTAAATAAGTACCCAAACCTACAATTATTCTTAAAAAAGTCCGTCAAATCTATAAGTTCTCTTAAATATGCATCACCAATTTTAAAGTTGTTAACCTAACTCTAAATTAACTAAACTACATTAATTAATCTTGCTAGTTTCTTACTAATGTTTCCTAGATAGTTACAGTTAATACCAACAACATATTGCGATATTGAAAAATTGAGTCAATGCCCCAAATTTTAAAAGTCAATGTGCCCCAGCCCCTCATACTTTTTGTAATATGATGTAGCCCCTAAAATTTGAAAAGAATGTGCCCAAACCACTCCAGCTCATGATTAGCCAATATTCTACCTAAAATCCTAATTTTACCCCTTTTCTCCTTCTCCTTCTCCTTCTCCTTATCTTTCTCCTTCCTCATCCTTCTTCCTCCTTCCTCCCCGGTGATCCTCCACCCGCGATCCTCTTCCACCGGTGATACTCCACCGGCGATCCTCTTCCACTGGCGATCCTCGTCCTCGTCTCCTTCTCCTTTCTCATCCTCTTCTCCTTCTCCTTTCTCATTCTCTCCTCCCTCATCCTTCTTCCTCCTTCCTCCCCGTCGATCCCCCGGTTCGTCGGCGACTCTGCATAAGCTCCACCAAAACCGACTCAATCTCTCCTCCCCCGGCGATCCTCCAGTTCCCTGGCGATCCTCCTTCTTTCTCATTATCTCCTTCCTCATTCTCTCCTCCCTCATCCTCCTTCCTCGTCTCCTTTCTCAATTCCATCACTCAATCCTAAATCTGACTCCCTCTAATCTCCACTATACCGAAGTTTCCCCCTAGCTCCTCGCCCGAAGAAATTTATGAAAAATTCGTTCTGTCTTCAAGCCCCATGGAAAAGGACTGTGTGATTATGCTTTGTTCATTAGAAGCAACCGACTACGTGTATATCTAGCCGAGATGTTGAGTGAATTGGTTTTTGTTTAAAATTTTATTATACATAAGCCGTTTTTGTTGGCTTGAAAATTATATGTAGTTTGTACATGATACGTTGATAATTAAGAAATAAAAGCCTACATACAAAAATACTCATTTAAAATAATGGATGTATAAATATGACGCTCATGTGTGAATGTTCTCATTTAACTTGTTAACTATTACACGTAGCATGTTAACCTTAATTAGTAAAAATTGATAATTGTATTCAGTAAACTGTTAGCTATAATCCATTATATGTTAACTGTTATTTATAAGTTGTTAACTAATACACTTATCCTGTTAACTAGTATTCATTATATGTTAACTGTTATTTGTAAACTGTTAACTATAAGCAATTATCTGTTAACTGTTATTTATAAACTATTAACTATAATCAATTATCTGTTAATTAACTGTTATTTGTATATTATTATTTTAACTATTTTATTATAATTCATAAATAATTATTATAATAATAATTTAATTGGTTACTATTAACATTTGTGTATACTTATTTTGTAAACTATTTTATTATCTTATTATTAAATTTTTAATATTTTTAATATTATTGTTAATAATATTTATTTAGGAAGGTGAGGAAGTGTATAATTAATATGTGATTATATTTATTTAATAATTAGAAATAATGGTGTACTTAGAATTTATCAAAATTTAAGAAGGTGAAAGAAGAAATTAAAAATTTTAACTCCTCAATTCTCTTTTTATATAGTAGTATAGATTTTATTTCTAAAGCAAAACATTGAAAATAGAAAACACAGCTGTCTTTTTATGCCTTGGACCCAGTTCCGATTCCAGCCCACTAAAACCGGAAAAAGGACGATAATTCTGGACCGTTGACTGGGCCATACTTTAGCTTGATGTGTTGGGCCTTGGACAATGGAGTTTGCTCGGTGGTGGGCCTTTAACCGAAGTTCGGTGCACCTTTATTCCTTTCGATCCCAATTCTCTCTTTGTAGCTCTCAATCTGCGCTCTGTACTTTTTCCAGTCGTTTACTCTTTATTCTGCTCAATTTCAACCAGCTCGCTCTCAATCAGCGCTTGAATTTCATTGAATTCATAATTAGAGATGACGATCGGATCGGGAGGATCAAGTGTTGTCGGTTTGTAACATCGTTTTTAGTCTACAACTTTTTTTAATTCCGCTTGATAAGTTATTTTTTACTTTATTGAGTCTTTTGTACGATTCTAACTGATGGGCTTGTGTTGAATTAGTGTAGGGATTTTTTTAATTTTGGGCTTTTGATGGGATTTAATTGGTTTGTTTAGTAATTAATTTTGTTTGTTGGGGTATAATATATAGATTGTAAATGGGTTACTTTGCTCTAGCTGAGTTAAAATGTTTATTGTTAGTTCAGATAATGCTCAGGTAGTTTTTATAGAATTATATTATTCTGATATGCGTCTTTTTTATCATTTCTTGTACTACTGTTTGATTTCTTTTAATGATTCGGTAATGATGATTTATTGAGCATGGGTAAGTGCTTGTTTATATCGAACTAACTGGGGATCACCTTTAAAAATCTTTAGAAGTACTTCATAAGGAAAGTTTCAAGTCATAATCATGTCTTTTAAATATCTCAGCTTTCTCAAATTATGATTAGTTACTGTGATATTCGAGTATTTACGTATTTTGATAGACACATATAAGGATGTGCTTTGAGATTAATGTATGTGGTATGTAAATAAAACACGGAAAAAAGAAAAAAGAAAAATCCGAAGAGAACTTTAGTTTATGGTGTACAAAATTTTATATACATCTCTCAAGGGCTAATACTATTATATAGCTTTATTAAGCTAATCATCAATTGTTAGTAACAACAGACTGTGAACTGCAAATGGAGTGGTGTATTTAGACAGGACTTTTGAAATGCTGTCAGCCCCTATTTGGAAGGATTAGACTGTTGAATGCATTCTTTAAGACCTAGTAATATCGCTTGTATGCTTTCTTCATTCTTCTTGTTGAAAAAAATGTCAACTTAATGTACACGTTTTTTTTATAATTCTTGGGAGCTTTAATTTCTAAACATTTTACTTTCTTTTCTAAATGATCGAGATGGTTTAAGTTGTCATGTTTTAGTGAAGCCATTTTCCATGCTGTTTTTTTCATGCCAGTTTGAGTACCTCTTATATGGCTGAGTGAAGAAGATTCTGCACTTTTCTGCGTTATGCGAGAAACATAAATGGAAAAAAACATTAAAGCGCTACTGTTAAGACTGAGTTTGCAACAACTTTTGTATATAATTGACCTGTTGGGTATGTTATGGGAGAAAAGGCAATTTTGCCTCCTACGAATAGTCCTACATGAACTAGTGTTATGAATATTAAGGGGTTTAAATTGCTTCTCCTCGCCACGCCACGCCACGCCGCACCGCACGCGCACGCATTTTTGTTTTGTCAAACTTCCTTTTGCATGTTTTTCTCATTGAGAATGTGCGAAACGGATGCGGGAAATTTGCATAACGGCTGCACGTTTTCGCTAATTTTGCGAGTAACGGGCCGAATTTGTAACGGTTCTGAGGATTGAGACCCTATAAATACCGAGCCTACACCAGCTCGGAAATACACATCAAGTTTCAGAGCCTTTTTCCTCTCAGAAACGAAAAGCTCTTTTCTCACTCTCTGAAGTATTCCTTTTTAAAAATTATCGGCTATAATTTATTTTGGGCAATCTTCTTCATCTGAGCAAAAGCTCTGCACTCTCGCCTGAGTTCAGAGTCCGACCGATTTTAGGGGTTTTTACCGCTAGAGGAGAGGGGATCATCTGCGCCAGGGCGATAGGCGAGTCCTTAATTTTCTAGGGCAGTGTTTACACGATTGCTCCCGATTAAACCAGACTTTCTTATTTCTTTTATTTCGGATTTCGCATGCTATAACTTATAACTTTTATTTGATTTTGTCTAACAATCTAGAAGATTAAGTAGAATAGTTTATAGCTGTTGTTTTTAAATCTGAAAAAAATATTTTTAAAAAGAGGTTATGTTTGAAAAAATAAACAAAACACTGCTCATCCGAAAAATTTACTGTTCATCCGAAAATGTTACTGTTCATCTATTAAATCAGAATTTATAATTGCAGTAATTATTAGTTTACTATTAATTGCTTAAATAGTTACTATTAATTGTTAGCTTGTTATAAATATTTTTCGAAATAAAATTACTTGATTTTCTGTTCCTGCTAGGAAAAAAAAATCATATATATATTCTTGCAATTATTGCTTAAATTGTTCTGTTAATATTACTAGTTTACAAACAATCTTGAATCAAATACCTCATCCTTTAAAGTCATAATCTCCTAAGTAACTATATATATTTTTGTCGATTGGTATTGACAAAAATCTTTTTTACCCACTTCAGATTTCAAATACTAAGACTAGTTAACTTTAAATCGGACTTATGGTTAACCCTGATCATTTCAAGAGTGTCAAACCTGAAAAGTTCACCGGTGTTAATTATAAACGGTGGGCTAATCAGATGATATACTGGCTCACTACCTAGGTCTCCTATCTGTCATTGATACTCCCGAGTCATCATCCACTGGATCTTCAGTTTATGGTCCTCAACCTGAACCTACTCCTTTCACTTCTGCTTCTGGTACTAGCTTATTCTCTAGTTCTATGAAGCCAGAAGAAATTAACTATCACTGTTGCCATAGGATTCTTAGTGCACTCGCGAACAACCTTTATGACATATACTATGAGTTCATAAGTGCTAAAAACCTATGGAATGCTCTTAAAGCAGAATATGGCTACGATGATGTCGAAATTCTACGTTTCACCTCCTCTTCCTTTAATAAGTTCATGATGGTTGATGACAAACCTATAAATGAACAAATTCATAAATTCCAAAATTTCTTTCGTCACCTCAAATGGTTGATGACTTTAAAATTTCATGTCTGATTGACAAACTCTCTCCCTTCTGGTCTAGATTTACTGGAGATCTCCGACACAAGCAATGAGATCTAACTTTAACTGAAGCCCTCAAGGCTATTCGCATTGAAGACCAGCATAAGCAAAATTCCAAAGCCAAGTCTGAAATAAAATCTAAAGTGAACTTAGTAGAGGATAAGCCTAAATCTAAGAATTTCAAACCCAAAAGGAAGAAATTCAAGAAAAACCAACAATCCTTCAACAAATTTAAATCCAATCACAATCCTTCCAGCCATAAGTCTGATGGAAAGTTCTGCTATGTCTGTGGTAGAACCAACCACTTGACTCCCAACTCTTTCTATCGGAAGAAGGAACCAACCAAACCTGTTCTAAAAGGAAATGGATCTAATAAAGTAAGTATGATCGAAGAAAATCCGAATTCCTTCAGGTTAGCCTTTTTATCTTATCTTGTAAATTCTCTTACTTCTTCTACTGATTGGTATTTGGATTCCAGAGCTAATATTCACTTTTGCAATGTTCGCTCTTGGTTTTTAACTTACCAGGAATCACGTGGAGGAAGCATAAACTTAACAGATGACTCCACCAAACAAATAATGGGAAGTGGATATATAGAGCTAACCATAACTTCTGGGAAAGCTCTGAATCTGCAAGGCGTCCATCATGTTCCTTCTCTCCGTCGCAACCTAATCAATGAATCTCTTCTCATTAGAGTTGGATTTAGGATTGTAAAGGAATCCAATAAATTTGTGATTACGAAGAACAATGTATTCATAGGAAAATATTTTATTGTGATGGCCTATTCAAGCTCAATGTAATCAATTCCAGTTCTAATAAAATTCCTGAGTCTTCTGTTGCACAAATTCTTAAATCTTGTGATGTTTGACATGGACGACTTGGACATGTAAATTTTCAAACTTTGCAGAGAATGACTACGTTAAATCTCATTCCTAAATCATCTCATGATCCCTCATCTAAGTGTGAGATTTGTGTTTAAGAAAAACACACTAAAAACCCTTTAAGACTACAACTAAAACTCCGAACCCCTCGAATTAATTCATAGTGATGTGTGTGACTCGAACCGAGTTCTCACTCGAGGGGGTAAGAGATATTTTGTGACATTTATAGACGATCACTCCAGATATTGTTACACCTATATATTCAAAACTAAGAATAAAATTTTAGATAGGTTTAAGGTGTATAAAGCTAAATTTGAGAATCAACTTGATAGGAAGTTTAAGATTTTAAGATCTGATCGTGGAGGGAGTATACCTCAAATGAAATGATTGAATATTGCTAAGAACATGATATCATTCATGAGGTAACTACTCCCTATACACTACAGTCTAATAGGGTAACTGAACGAAAGAATAGAACCCTTATGAACATGGTAAACTGTATGTTACTCAGTTTAGGAGCACCTAAAAATCTCTAGGATGATGCTCTTCTTTCTGACTGCTTCATTCTCAATAGGATTCCCCACAAATCTTTTGATATAACTCCTTATGAATTGGAAGGGGAGAACTCCTAGGTTGAACTTCGTCCGGGTTTGGGGTCGCTTAACTAAGGTAGCTATTCTCGAACCTAAGAAGAAAAAAAATTTGTTCTAAGACTGTTGATTCAGCTTTTATTGGATATGCATTACATAACAATGTTAACAGATTTCTAGTCATTAATTCTGAAATCAGTGACATATCCAACAACACTATCATTGAAGCTAGAGATGTAGTCTAATTTGAAAACATATTTCCTTTCAAATCCAAAATCTTAAAAAAATCCAATATCATCTCTTTCTTCTGATCAACCATCTTCTAGCTCTTCTCAGCCTCTTGATATTGAACCTCGAAGAAGTAAAAAAGGTAGAATTCAAAAGAATTTTGAAGAAGATTTTTTTACCTTTCTTGTTGAAGGTGATTCAAGCTCTTTTAAAGAAGCAATGGATTCACCTGAATCTTCTTTCTGGAAAGAAGTCAATGATAATGAAATAATATCTATCATAAAAAATCATACTTGGATACTCACTGATCTACCTCAAGGTTGTAAACCTGTTGATTGTCAGTGAATATTCAAGAAGAAACTTAAGAGCTGATGGTTCCATTGATAAATATAAAGCTAGATTCGTAGCTCAATGCTATACTCAGCAAAAGAACATCGATTACTTTGATACATATTCTCCTGTAGCCCGAATCTCAACTATCCGAGTATTATTAGCTTTTGTTGTTATTCATAAGCTGACCATACATCAATGGATGTCAAGACTGTTTTTTTGAATGGTGATTTAGATGAAGAAATCTATATGAACCAACCTGAAGGCTTTATTACCAAAGGTCAGGAAAATAAAGTATGCGAACTTGTTAAATCTTTGTATGGTCTAAATCAAGCTCCTAAATAATGGCACTAGAAATTTGACAAAGTCATTGCACAATATGACTTCACTGTGAATGAACATGATAAGTGTGTCTATTCTAAAGTGATAAACAATGACTATGTCATCCTGTCTCTACGTTGATGATATCCTTATCTTTGAAACAACTCTTGAATTAATCTTAAAGGTTAATGATTTTCTCTCTAAGAACTTTGACATGAAAGACTTAGGTTTTGCCGACATGATACTTGGAATGAAAATCACTAGAGACACTAGAGGAATATCCCTGAGTCTTTCTCATAGAAAATCACTAGAGACACTAGAGGAATATCCCTGAGTCTTTCTCATAGTATTGAGAAAATACTGATCAAATTTAATTTTCATGACTCTAAACCTGTTATCCCTGAGTCTTTCTCATAGTATTGAGAAAATACTGATCAAATTTAATTTTCATGACTCTAAACCTGTCTCTACACCTTATGACTTTTCTATATCTTAGAAGAAGAATGAAGGTGAACGTGTCTCTCAGCTAAAGTATTCTCAGTTCATTGGATCTCTCTTGTACATATCTAACAAGACTAGACCCGATATAGCTTATGTTGTAGGGAGACTGAGCCGGTATACAAGTAACCCTAGCAAAGATCACTGGATTGCCTTAGAGAGAATATTCAAATATTTGAAAGGCACAGTTGACTATTGCTTGACTTACACTGTGTACCCTAATGCTATAGAAGGGTATAGTGACGCTAATTGGGTCATAGACTCTAGCAATGTAAAGTCTACATCTGAATATGTATTTCTTTTTGGTGGTGCGGTTGTACCCTGAAAATTCTGTAAGTAAACAGTAATTGCCAGGAGCACCATAAAGTTTGAATTGATTGCTTTTAATACCACTTGCACAGAAGCAAAATGGTTAAAAGATCTTCTCTCTAAACTTCCTTTGGTCCTTAAACCCTCTCCTCCAATTTTCATTCATTCTGATTCTAGATCCACCATACAGCTTCTAAAGCAAGTGCATGTAAATAAAAAACTTAACAGACATATTCAAATAAGATATAAATCTATACAACGCATGCTAGGTAAAATTGTGATTCTAGACTTTGTAAAGTCTGAGAAGAATCTTGCTAAGCCTTTGACTAAGGGTTTATCCAGAAGTGTGGTTCTGGATTCATCGAGAGAGATGAGATTAAGCCCATAAGTGAGGTCACTGACAGCGAAAACCCAACCTTTATTTGGAGACACAATCCCAATGTAGGTTCAATGTGGTAGAAACAAGCTGGACTAGTGACACTCGTGTGGAGCATCGACCTAGATATGTTTATATATCATTATGGTAGCATCTGCTACTTACCCTTCTCAATGGTGACGATGTTCTTATGATACAGCTGGTTAGGCTGAGTTTTACTCTTAATAAGTCCAACGCGTGTATTGCTGAGGGTATAATATCTAGCTGTAGTACCCTTGAAGGACTTACCTACGTGAGAGTAATCGTGATAGTCGCGGTGGGGGGGGTGGACTAACCCCTAGAAACTCTCATGAGTTGGTTATTGTGAGCATGATCTTTAACGCTCAACCTATTTTACTCAATAGATAAAGACGTATTGTGTATGTTTTCGTCAATACCTGGTTGGTACCAGAGGTCTAATTCAAGGCCTAGTCCTCAGGTTGCGATGAACTAACTAAGGAAATGTTCAAAGCCGAAAGCTACATCTCCCGAATTCACGATATGAAAGGTTGCCCAACATATATATGTTTTGTGATTTATTGATTTATTTATTGATTTTTGAGTTTTCAGTCAAATATTGCTTTTTGAGGTGGACTGTTGGCTATGTTGTGGGAGAAAATACAAATTTGCCTCCTATGAATAGTCCCACATGAACTAGTGTTATGAATAGTAAGGGGTTTAAATTGCTTTTTCTTTTGTTGGGCTTTGAGGATCCCTAAGAAATGGGTGTTTTGGGATTTGTATTGTTTGGGCTTTGCATAACACGCGCGTACGCCATGCCTCGTCGCGTCGTGCCGCGACGCATCGCACGAGCACACATTTTTGTTTTGTCAACTTCTTTTTGCACGTTTTTCTCATTGAGAATGTGCGTAACGGCTGCGGGAAATTTGCATAACGCCTGCACGTTTTCTCTAATTTTGCGAGTAACGGGCTGAATTTGTAACGGCTCTGAGGGTTGAGACCCTATAAATATCGAGCCTGGCACCAGCTCGGAAATACACATCAAGTTTCAGAGCCTTCTTCCTCTCAGAAACGAAAAGCTCTTCTCCCTCTTTCTCTGAATTATTCCTTTTTAAAAGTTGTCTTCTACAGTTTATTTTGGGCAATCTTCTTTATCTGAGCAGAAGCTCTACACTCTCGCCCGAGTTCAGAGACCGGACGATTCCGGGGGTTTACCGCTAGAGCAGAGGGGGATTATCTACGACCGAGTGATAGGCAGATTCTTAATCTTCTAGGGCAGTGTTTACCCGACTGCTCCTGATCAGACCAGACTTTCTTATTTCTTTTATTTCGGATTTTGCATGCTATACCTTATAACTTTTATTTGATTTTGTTCAACATG